CAAAGTTCTTGAAAAAAAATATGTTTTTTGTAATATTTGGAAAATGTTACGATTTACGATAGATTTTAATGAAACTTGCTGTGGATTTGTTCCTAAGTAAGACTCATGTTTTGATAAAGCAACCGTGCCCATCTGTCTTGGGCAAGTGGTAAATTCTTGAGTGTCTTGGTACAAGAATTACCAGAACTCTTTATTTGGTCGCTGGAATCAATTCATTTTTTTATTGATGCACCAGTCCTTTTTCGAGATTTTCGTGCTCTTGGTAAAATCTTGTAGCATTCATAGTTTTTACGCAAAAAAATGTTTTCAATTTTAGACAATAATTATCACTACTACTCAAGAACAACAACTACTTACTATTATCATTACTACCGTAGTAAGCGATGCTCAGTAGTAGCGAGTAAGCGAGTCATTTTATAATAAATTAATTGTCAAACTTTTAACGTTGGCCGGACAGACCGACACATTCGTTTCGAATGGTGTTTTCTAATGAAGAGATGACCCACATGGTCAAAGTCTTAAGGGTTTTGCGAAGACAACTTGCGTGGGAGTGTACGCATCTACCCAAATCGACGGGTTTCAGATTACCGGACATTTGCACAGATGGAAAGGAGTTTGCGGGAGACTAGGCAATTTGGTGGTCGAGCCGTTGACCGTGTAAGTCGTCTTCAAGTACGAAATGCAGCCGTTGAGGAAGACGTTTTAAATAGGATCGCTGAAGATCAAAAAATCAGTACTCGCCGTCTGGCAATTGAAATTGGCGTATCAAAAAGTACATTTCCTCCTACCTTATCAAGCGACGTCTATTCAGGAGCTGTTGCCACTCAAGTTTGAGAGAAAACTACAATTTTGCCGCTTTATTGAAGGGGCGCGGGCACGTGACCCAAATTTCACCAGTAGAATTTTATTCACTGATGAAGCTTGTTTTACCAGAAGTGGTGTCTTTAATTAACGTAATTTCCACCATTACGCAGAAGAAAATCATAGGCGTATTAACAACTTTCAGGTGGAATTTCGAATAAATATTTGGGCCAGGATCATCGGTGACATCCTTCTGGGTCCTTAAGTCATGCCGCGCCACTTGAATGGCGAAAATTATCTCAATTTTTTTATGAATACTTTTCCGATTCTAATGGAAGATGTCCTTCTCGATCTTCGTGCTCAGATGTGGTTTATGCACGGTGGCGCTCCTCCACATTTTAGTGCATATGTAACTGCACATTTAAATAATACTTTTCCACGCAAGTGGATCAGAAGAGGGAGATATGTTCCTGTCGAATGGCCTCCCAGGTCCCACGACTTAACGCCGTTAGATTTTTTCTATGGGGAGCCTTAAAGAATAAAGTTTACGCCACTCATATGGAATCCCAAAAAGAATTATTACGTAGGAATCAAAACGAAGCGGACGTAATACAGAATAATCCAGAAATGTTAAGAAGGGCTCAATTCAATTTCAATCGAAGGATCCAGCTATGCATCCAAGAAATTGGCGGGCATATTGAACATGTCTTATAATTCCATCTTCATCTATCGTACCTATGTAACTATCATCCAGTTTCAATAAAGAGAATTATGTCTTTCCTAAATATGTCTTTACATTTTTTACACGTTAATAAAAAGTAAATCTAATGAAATAAAATGATATTCAATGTCGCGTCGCGACAGACTTTAAAATTGTGACCATTTTACTTTCAATGTTGATATCCTAGGTAAAAGAATTGGCATAATTATTAGAGAAAGCCGCTTCTTGTAAAAAGGCAGATTTACTGCGATACGCATACGTCTAAAACTGTTAAGTCGCAACGAAACAGAAAACATTTTTTTGCGTAAAAACTATGAATGCTACAAGATTTTATCAAGAGCACGAAAATCTCCAAAAAGGACTGATGGATCAATAGAATCAATGAATTGATTCCAGCGACCAAACAAAGAGTTCTGGTAATTCTTGTTCCAATACACTCAAGAATTTACCACTTACCCAAGGCGGATGGACGTGGTTGCTTCATCAAAACATGAGTCTTACTTAGGAACAAGTCCACAGTAAGTTTCATTAAAATCCATAGTAACATTCTCCAGATATTACAAAAAATATATTTTTTCAATAGCAGAGAAGCCAGACATTTTCTCTTATTGGAAGTTAGGTCAGATCGTTTTCTTTTAAGCCAAAGAATGTCGCAGTACCTTTTTGATCATGTTTACGGAACACCCTGTATAATAAAAACAGTTCCGATGGATTATCCTCCTCCATGAAACTGAAATTTCGTGTATTCATTATACAGAACCTAAATGATTACAAGCCACGTGACCAATAATTTTGTTTGGAACAGTAATTTTATTTCCTTCATGTTTTCCTTCATGGCAATTAAATTTCTGTAAAATTAAAACAATAAGATCAATGTCACATTGAAACACAACATTCGGTGTCACCGGCTGTGATTGGTGTAATTTTACACGAAATACTATTCAACCTATCAGCGATGGCACTATCTCGAGCGTAAACGAAACAATTTGTTCATTGTCAACGAGTCTTTAATATTGACGACGCAAAGATTTAGGGAATTTTTCGTTACCAGGATCAACCGTGCAATGTTAGGTTGCCTACGCTCGGTGATCACGTGACATGTAAATATTTATAAAGGCTCTGTATTAGTTTTAATGGCCTCTAAGAGATTTCCAAACTATCCGCCACCATTATTTAAATTAGTTAAATTGCCATTTAATGACCACATTAATACAATTTTGCTTCGACCTCCAAAATATTGATTTTATTTTATTTTTTAAAGTAATTTTTAAAAATATTATAATGAAGTTTAGTAAATTATGAATATGAGCTCGTTCTTTATTTATAAAAGTTAATTGCAAAGATTTGCACATTGTTAAAAATGAATAAAGTAAATCATGCAATAAAAGCGGACAATAAAAACTTTTAATGCAGATATCTTGTAAAGTCAATTTTTACTCTGGAAATTAATTTTAAAGAGAGGGGTAACTTTTAAATTTTCAAGTATCCGAAAATAAGTATTTCTGAAATACGACAATTTTAGGAAAAATTTTTCGGACAAAGTTTGCACAGTTCAGAGAGGAATAGGGTATCGACATAATATTTTCCTACCCCCACCTGATGATGATTTTTTATTTTTTTTTCTTAAAGTTGATAGGAATCATATATGTATATAGAGTTATCTTTGTTCTATTCGAATATCATTATGTCATTTGTTCTTTTTTCTATTTTTGCGACTAGGATCATTTAAAAACAAAATAGTAAAATACTATAGAAACAGATTGTCTATAATTTCGCTGGTCTGAGGAAAGCGAAGACTCCGTCTTTCTTTAAATTGAGCGATTTTGGGTCCATTTTCACCCTAAATATAGATTTTACAAAATACTGGCCGATTGTGCATAAATTCTGATTACGGTATTAGTTTTCAACTGATCAAAATACATCGGAAATGATATGTCAAATATTATGCAGAGCAAAATTAATTTTAGACTATGACTGAGCAATTTTTGTTGAGTCCGTTTTCACCCTAAATATAGATTTTCGGATCGTTTTCAACTCATCAAAATACGTCGGAAATGATATGTAGAACTTTGGGTCTGGACTTTTTTATGTACCTGACATTATTTAATTAAAATGGCTAACTCTAAATATTCGGAACCAAACATTGACTTAAGAGTGTATTTTATCAATATTGGCACTCGTGTCTCTTTTGTATACCGATGTTATTTTTATTAAAATAAGCGAAAATACAAGACCAACTTTTTTTATAAACTCCAAATGGTTCTACGACCCTAATGACGGTATGTGAAATATTTAATCAATTGCTTAAAAATGATATAAACTTCAAATTGATACGGTATGGTCCTAACGTAATTATTACACATAAAATTGAAAAATAATCAGTAGCATCGAAATTAAAAATTTTTTTACGAAAAATCTGCCAGACTAATTCGAAATAAACAAATATTTTTTTTTTAGATTCGGGAAAATCATACACCGCTCACAAATAGGAATAAAATATAAAGACAATGTTAAGAATTAGGATTTTTTTCTTCAATTCTTCAATAAATTCTGTCTCCAAACTTCACAGAATTCAATTAATTTTTTTGGTAGTTTCTCACTTTACACTACAATATTTAAACTACAAATTCATTTAAAACAAAATTATAGTTATGATTTTTATGAAAGAATATTTCAACTCGATTCTGATAAGCTGTGCCTTTTACAGTCTTACGATATTTGTTGAAATAGAATTCCAAGAAGACCCCTGCGTCACTTTCTTGGAATTAACCGCATTCGATACCCGAAGTAGAAAGACATTGACAGAAAGACCATAACAGCTTGCAGTGCATACTGTATTTTGCAGTTACGAAGAGGTATTTCTTTCTCAACAAATATCATACGGACTGTACCTATAGCTACTTTTTTTAAGTACATTAAAGAAATCCAAAAATGGAAAGTGCCACGGATAAAATTAAAATAAAAAAAATTAATAAGAAAATGAACTTTTAGTATCATATTTAAAGGCCACTGAAATTTATAAGAAAATAAAAATGAAATTTGGCAGCAATGTTCTATTTAAATTGTTTTTTATTTTACTTGGAAAGTAAAATTTAATTTAAATTTACCCAACAATGTGAGAATCTTCGACGAAATTTTTTTATAGTCGAATCTCTCCAAACCCTTTTAATTCTAGCACCACTGATTTTGTTCAATTTTACAAATACCATAGGAGAACTGAACTTCAAGATGAAGTATATATCTTCAGTCGTAACTGATTAAAAACTGTGTTTCATCTTCTCGTAATTAAAAAGGGTAGAAATCCGTAGAAATCGTATTACAAAAGAAATTCACTATCGTCATTCATTTAAGTTTATCGTAACGCAATATACTTTACGTTAAAAGAGCTGCAATTAAATGAAACGTTTTTGGAAGCCGCCTAAAAACAGCTATCTTAATAACTATTCGAACCTTATAATGAATGCAATTGTGTTCTTACCTTGTACGCATCCTTAATGTTTATTAACGTTTTGTTTTGTGCAACTGTTCCGGCAATTCCCACTCCAAAAGGAATTCTAATCTCCTCCGATCTAGCCAACTTAACAGCCTCTTCCAGTGACGTATCGTGCCTCACGTCAAACAATTTCGCTACGAGGTACCTCTCATTCCCGGATATCCTCGAAAGAAACAGGGAACCCCTGTCTGCATGTGTGAGGATGCTGACGTTCTTCAATATCTTGAAGCAAAGTACGTCGATGTCGAGCTCGTTGGCGACATCTCGGATGAGTTCCATGAAGAGTTCCGACTCCTTTGAGAAAGAAAAAAAAGTTTTTATAACACTTGAATCTATCCAAATTAAGTTTGCTCCAAAAATGCATCTTAAAGACATAGTGGTTAACATTTTTACATGAGTATATTTTTTTTTTACTTTTTCCAATAACCAGCAACGGAGGCAAAGAATAATCGCTACCAAAAATACAATTAGATAAAGCAATGATCCTTTAAAAAACTAAGTTAATAACAATTTTACAGGTAACAAGCTTGTATTTTGAAGAAACCGATACTATCGATTTTTATATGCACTGATGTGAGGTCTGTCAGAAAATAACCGAACTTTTTTAATTTTAAACACATTATTGATCCTTGTCTCTTTCAAAGTACCCCCTCCCCTATTCACTCACTTTTCCCAGCGGTATTTCCATTTCGCGAAGCAGTCTTGGATAACGGCGTCCTTTCAGCACTGATTTTAATTTCGGAATTAAGAAAAAATCGCAAAGAGACAGGTCTGGCAAGTAAGGAGGGTGAGGAACGACGAATTGACAATATTGATTGTGCGGACGCATTGTCATGCTGCAAGAGCCGTGAGTTGTTTCGTCACAACTCTGCTTTTTGCGGATTTGTTCACGTAACTATTGTAAAACGCCTTGATAGTACACATAGTTCACTGTTTCATCTTGAGGCAAGAATTCAAAATGCTCAATTCCATTAAAGTCAAAAAATACAGTGAGCATCACTTTGACATTGGATCGAGACTGACGTGCATTGTTGGGGTGTAGAGATCCTTTGCCAATCCATTGTGGCGATTGAACTTTTGTCACAATATCAGGTCTGTTCCAACAAGAGTCAGGGATTGATTCCGAACCGTTCGAAATGTTTGGATAGCTAAGTTCTAAATGTGTCTTCAGTGAATATATCGCAAGAATTAGTTGGATGCACATTTCAAACGGTTCGAAACCAATTCCTGACTCCTGTTGGAACAGACCTATCGGATCCGTCGTAGCGGTAAATCCAACTTTCATCTCCCCTTATGATCCTTTGAAGGAATATTTCATGGTCATTGGATTGTTCAAGGAGTTGCCGACAAACGTCCATACGATTTTCTTTCTGTTATTCAGTCACCAAAACATGAAGAAATTTTACAGCAACTTGATTCATGTTCAATTTTTCAGTCAAATTTTCATGGCATGACCCAATTGAGATGTTAACCTCTTCTGCAATTCCTCTGACAGTCAATCGGCGATTTGCATGCATCAGATCTTCGACTCTTTGAACGTGGGAGTCACCAGATGAAGTCGAAAGCCTTTCTGGTAGAGGATCATCTTCTTGACTGACGAACACTTTTAAATCGTGGAAAACCATTCGAAACATTACGTACTACCCATTATTTCCGCAAGCTTGTTGCAAGTTTCAAAAGTTGAAACGTTTCCGTGAAAGTTTTCCCCAGTTTCACGAAAAATTTTACGTTGCATCGTTGTTCCAGAAATTCGCACATTTCAAAAATCGTCACTAACACTTAAACAGGTTATATTCAAATAACAATATCACGACAACTAAATCAGATATCAACAATCCAAGAAGATGTTAAAGAGGAGGTAATGTGCACCACAATGCTGTCAATCGCGTATCACTAAATATCTTCATTAGCACATGATTCAAAAACTTCAATTATTTTCTGAACACCCTTGTATTGTCAGATCCCTTTTTATATGAATAATCTTTATGTAGGTATTTTAATAAGCGTATTAAATATTAATTAAGTAAACAGTTAAAAATTAAGGCTTTGTTAAACGTTGCTGTATACAAAGTACATAATATTCTGTGAATGCTCAAGTAAAATAAATATTTGACAAATACAAGGTCACGAATTTTGTAAATATTTGGATAATTTATTACATTTTTACACCATTAATAAGTAAATTTTGATTTTGTAAATGAAACACAAATTTGCTTCAAATTGTTACGTACATTTTGAGCTAAACACGGCTTCTTGCCGTAATTAGGTATATGTTAACTAAAGTGGAAACATAATTTTATACTTCATCATAGTTTTGTTAAATATTAACCCCACAGGTGATAATTGATTTTATTAATACAAATTTTCGTTATTAAAATTATTATAAAGAGATATAACGCACCACCAGTTCCTCAGCTGAGAATTACAGAAATTTAAATAAATAACACGGAAAGAAATAAATTAAATAAAAAGTAACTGAGTTATGTTAAAAGTGTTAAGTAATATTAAAAAAAAAACTTGTTTGGGAGGATCATCATATAAGGTTTAACCATTTCATAAAAAGGCAAAATTAAAGTTATTGATTCTTCTTCCGACCCTCCATGCAGCCTATCACCCTCAGGTTGGGGGATCTTTGGTACGATTAATCAAATGATTCTCAAATGAGAGAATAAAAACAGTATATAAATTTTAACCTTATTATATTAACATCTCAATTTGAAAATTATAGCTAACGTATGATTCAGTAAAAGAATAAGAGTGTATACGTTATTAGTATGAGATTAATAATAATTTACAAGGTGTGCTTTGGATGATGGTTTAAACTTATTATTTAACTTTAGTCTGGCATAACTTGTAGGTATGGCTCTTGAAAACGAAACAGAGCGAATAACTCGAAGGAAAACTATTTTTCCGAAAAACGCCGAGACAGGGCGATTTTTTATTGAAGGGGGACATCTTTTCACATAAATTTGTTGTTTTGTATGGTTGAAATTTATTATGTTTCAATCGCAGGTAATCTCACCGGAGAGATGTACTTAGATTTGTTGAAGAACGACATTGATCAAGCGTTGACAAACATTATCGAGAATAATGAGAATGATCTCGAAGACCAGTTGATATTCCAACAGGATGAAGCTCCCCCCACACTACACCCTACCTGTTCGGCAGTATTTTTAACGTAGGTTTACGAATTAATGGATTAGGAGTAGAGACACCACAGAATGGCCAGTACGATCATCAGATTTGAACTTTTTCTTGCGTGGTCACTTAGTCTAAAATTTATTTCACTCCATCTATTTCCGTTCAAGATCTATGCCAATGCATTGCCGCCAAGTTCCTCCAGAAATGATACAAAATGTGCGTGAATGCTTTTTATAAAACGTATTACTGTATGGACGCTGAAGGTCATAAATTTGAACACTTAATTGGATGGCATGTAGTAATTTGCAAATAAATTTGTAAAAAGCAGTTTTTTTAATTCTCCTTCCCTATTAAGATTTTTGGAGGGTTGTCCCCCTCCCTAGAGGAAAGAGTCTGTAACAAGAAATTTATGTGAACAGATGTCTCCCTTTGATAAAAAATCGACCTTTCTCGACGTTTTTCGGAAAAATAATTTTATTATTCGCTCTGTTTAGTTTTCAAGAGCCCACCCTATATGTACCTCCATAATCGACTTTTATTCTAAAAGTTGGTGCCTTAAAGGAGGAGGGCGCCTAAGACCAGTTTTTAGCCTAATTTATTTTTGGCTAAAAAAATCTGAAAAAAAATTTTTTTTAGTACCTACTAGCAATACTGAATCGTTTCCACTCTAAACGGACCAACCCCCTCACCCTCCTTTTCCTCTCCACCCCCTTAAATGAGATGACACACATTTACATTGAATAAAACGAAAAAGAAAAAATCAATAATTATACATACATGTTTATGCATTATCAATCGTGATTCTGAATTCATAATTGTAAACAGTGATCCAAGAAATTTTCTGAAAACAAATATTTGCGGATTATGAAGATCTTTTTAATTTTTTTGTCCGCTATATGGAATACGTCATTTTGAATTTCGTAATTCTGCCTTCGTAATCAGAGACCCAAAAAACCCCACTACACAAAAATTCATGCATTTTAAGGAGGTTTATCTGATTTGGAATTGACGAACAAATATTCATAAAAAAAATTAATATAAGCTTATTAATATGAAGAAAATCCTCAAAATCCTCAATATTAATAAAATAATTTTTCACGATTTAGTACAGTCTTATGAGAATGCAGATTTTTTATCTTTCCACTTAGAATGCGCAACAATTGACGAACAGTTTCCACAGCAACTTGTATAAATAGGAAACCGATATCTAAGGAACCGTATAACAGCTAGTAGATATCGATTAGGTACTTGTAAGATACATAATTTATAATAATTCTTCTTCAAACTGCTCTCGTTGACTAACTTATCCTCCATATGCATGATAGCGGCAACGCCGCGGTCTCGACGTAGCGTATTATTCGAAATTCGCAGGTGTCCAAACAAGCAGAATGATCGAACGGGAGCGAGCAAACGCCGAGCCGAGCGCGCCAGCCAAGTGCAACGTTGCCAAATCTAAAGGCTTACTACATTAGTCACTAGCGTATCGACAGAAACTCTCGTTAGACTTTAGACGTACCTCCGTACCCGATAAACCTCCTTAAAGACATTTTAATTTTTTGTGCGCCATTTTGAATTTCGTGATTTAGAGTCCAAATTCGTAATCATAGACCCAAAATACCCCATTACAAAAAAATTCATGCATTTTCAAGACATTTCAATTTTCTTGTCCGCCATATTGGATCCGCCAATTTGAATTTCGTGATTCTCGACCCAAAAAACTCTTCATATGTAAGATGTCAGGGGAGTGATCCGTTTAGGGTGGAAACGATTCAATATTGTTAATAGGTACTAAAAAACATTTTTTCAGCCAAACATAAATTGGGCCAAAAACCGGCTTAGGGGCCCTCCTCCTTTAATCGATGAATTGACCAAAAATTTAAAATAATAGAACTGGTTAAAATTAACCAATTTTAATTACTTTTAAGTAGGTAGGATATATTTAATAGCCGGGATTTTGGGCTTAAATTTAACCAATAAACTGATCGATGTATTCCAATCTGAAAAAAATTGTCAAAAGGAAATTTTAACAATTTCTTGAACAACTTATTTGGTCATAAAACTTGGAATACTCTTTGCCCGTGTATATTAGGACCAGCGTTGCCAGACGTCCCGATTATAGCGGGACGTCCCGATTTTTAGCCCAAAATTAAATGTATAGTAAAGTAACGTATTTTTATTAAAATATATATTCTATGGCAATTTTGGCTTTCTATCATCATGTAAACTTAAATTGAAATTCAAATAAAAGGATAAGTAGTTAAAAACTATTGATTATATACGTTTTTTAGTATGTCCGGCTTTCGAGGGAAGAATCCCGCTTTTTTTACTCAAAAGGTTTCAAAATTCCGCTTTGCCTGAAAAAAAAAACTGGCAACGCTGATTAGGACACATTCATTACACATATAAGTATCTGTTAATCCTTGTATCATTGCACTTTTAAGATAAAAAAGTAGATGTTTTGCATTTGAAAAAATAAATGTTGTCCTTATCTCAATAACACACAATATTCCGCTCTGTTTAAATACTCTCGAACATATTTTATATTTGCACCTTTTTTTCACAATCAGATCTACAGGGTTATTTTAAATGAAACAGCACAAACAGTACCATGATAGTCTTGGCAATAAAATATAATAATTGGGCCAAATACAGTTCCTTGACCACAAATGCATAAATTTCTCGGATGTTTGACGTAGATTAATATGTCTTAGGTAGGCGCCTTAACAAAACAAATTTATAAAATAACTGAATTTGTATACAACTGTATCTACCAGAAGACTCCATAAAAAGAACGTCATAATTTCTATGCCACTGAATATTTTTGTTAATGCGATACATTCATTCTCTATTGTATTTCAAATAAAAAGTATCTCCTCCATTTGCCAAGGACACAACTATCTTATTTTGGTCTCAATATTATCTAGGTACCATTTCTGCTCCTTCATTTAAATACGCCTTGTAGAAAAAGGGATGCAATTTTTGTCTGACATTCTTACACTGTTACAATAAATATACGATTTTCTTCTGAAACAAAATTATTTCTAACAAATTCTGAGGAAAATCGCTTTAATTGTAACAATCTTGATCATTGTTGGGAATCACTTTCAAAAAATGTATCCTAAGTTTTTTTTGTATTTTTTTTTTTAATTTTAATTAGCGTTATACTTTACCTCCATGGATGCAAGATCATGTTTAGGACGGACATTCTGAAGATGCTGTTGTTCATCATTGTTCGGCGAAGCTGCCAACCACAACTGAAATATGTCAGAGGAAACGTTGGAGTTCTTGACCGCCTGCACCGGTGAGAGAAGAGCTTTCTGAAAACGCTGCCTTAGCTCGGGGGAGGCGTGTTCCTTCAGCCAACGTTCGACCACCGTAGGGTTCGATTCCAGCCAGGACCCGACCTAGAGTGGAGCACAAACGAAAAGGTCAAGAAGGAACGTATTTACTACACAACCTGTACCGTCAACCTTATATCCGGGGTTAAGGGTCTGCAAGTCATCGTTTTTATGAGCAGCTGATAAGTCGAAGGTACTAAATTGATGATCTGATGCTCTCCGGTTTCGAGAAATACAGAGGAAAAAAGATAATCTAGGTTCAGCTCCGGATTATATAGATATGTGAAATTTAAGTACTCGTAGACGAATATGTTCAAGTATATGTTATTTTTTATTAAATAAGTTACAACTATTCAAATCAGTTCATATTCTTGCCATAAGAAGAAAAATGATTCGTTAATTCACAGGGAAAACAGGTAGTAATATTCATCAAATTAATAATTATTGCAGATAGTTATAACAAGTACAAAAAATTTAATGACTTCAAAATATCTACGTGCTAAAAGTTAAGTAGGTATAGTCTACTCGTATTTAAATTTTTGCAATATGCCAAATGTTTTGGTGTAAGATTACTATTAACTGTTATTTATTGCAACTCTGAAATTTTTTCGTTAAATAAAAAAACAGTTTGTTCTTAAATAATATAATCAAAATACAAAATGGAAATATAATAGTAGAAAGTTAAGCAAAAGTTTAAAATAAATTATTTCTTCAAAAAATTTTAATAATATATTCAGAGGCTCTGATACAAGCTGCACAGCTTGGGTTTTTTAATTTAAAAACACAGTGTACATTTTAAGGTGTGGAAAAAATACAATGATATAAGATTTGCTGAGTTTGTCTTTAATAAGATTTAAATGAAAGTGTGTGCAAAACAGTAAATAGTTTAAGACTATAACGTATTCAAAATTGTGAAGCGTTCTCTTCAAAGTTTAAGTACATTTTCTTTTAAACTTTTAAACTTTTCGTCCTTGTAGCATTCAGTTTTGAAATATACGAAGTTGTAAGTTTCCAAAAAAAAATCTTCTAAACGAATGACAAATCTAAACAAAACTTTCTATGCTATACATAAAAAATTTAATTTCAACTCAAACCAATGGCATAGATATATTGGCTACATTTTTCTAAAAAAAAAAAGTATTCTGGAAAAAAATATTCATTTGTTATTATTGAAATTATTTTTGCTAAACTTATAGCATTTCTGTAAAATTTAGCAATTATTAAAGATGATCCGTTTAGGTAAAAGAAAATGATTTTACAAAATGTATTCAAAATAGTCTCTAAAATGGCATATTTTTTATTAACTCCTGTACTTTTGTTTTGCTTTAAAGATATTAATTTATTTCAAACTAATTCTAAAATTATTTATAACTTTATAAACTTTATAAACAAGCAAGAAAAATTATAATCTTCAAAGACAAATGGTTACATGAGAGAGTATTCTTACTAGGAAAATACTCCTTCGCTTTTGGCATCTCATATTATTACACAAGTATAGAAGATCTAACAGCAATATTGCCACAAACTTTCAGTACTGATTCCTGTCATTAAAACAAGAATTCTTAAGAGCCTCCCCAAAGGCTGGAAATACAAACAACAACATGATTTTTATCTTACTACGGAAGTACCATCGAAAAATTTGGCACAATGCAGTTAATTCATAGCAGCTACCGTCATGTAATCATTGCCGTCCAAATTAAGTAAAGTTTGATGTGTATACACTGTCAAAAAAGTGCCGTTAAAAAGAATATTCATTTACATCTGTAAATGGAAATGATCTGTACAGATCTTTGTACAGATCATTTCCAAACAAAGTATGTCTATTTCTCGGGCTTTTTACTATACAGTTCTTTTTATCCAGCACATGCCAACAATTACTCAAATATCTTAGATTCTGTTGAAAACTATTTCATTTCTACTTAGGCATTCATCACAAAACAATGTGTTTTATAAAAATCAACATTCAAATGCAAAAGTCAACAATGTTTTTTTTTTTTAATTACTTAACTTTATTCTTACTTAGCAAACTTGCAAATCGTATTCCGTTTTCTGAGGCTTTATTAGATTTGCCTCTTCCGAACAAGAATTAAAGAGATAAACAAACATCTAAATTCCTACACCAAAAGAATCTGTTTGAGTACAATATGCTGGTAATATATTGTATCTATATATACAACTACAGCAATGCGAGTACAAAGTACGCAAAGATATATAGTCACTGTTTTTATATTTAGGTAAAAGTTAAACATAAGGATGAAGTAAAGCTGTATGTATAGTTTATTGTATTGAATGAGCGGTTATCAAAACATGTTTTTTCTTTCAATGTCTGAAGTAATAGACAGTAACAGTGTGGGTTTATTTTATAAATGTACTAACAATATAATTTTAACTTGAACTTTTAGAATCCTTCTTAAACAATTCTTTTTTGATGACTTACAGATCACCAACCCGGGATGCCAAGGTAGGTCAACTTCCACTACCCAGGAGAAGTCAAAGGAAGTGACGGGCACTGTACTAACCAGAGCCAAGTCGTCCTCGGCGGCTGGCGGCGGCGTCATCGCCCAGCATGTCCTTCACGGGAAGCGCGACCACGAGGATGCCGTCCAGGTGGCTGGTAGCACGAGGTGGCACTGGAGGTGCTTCATACCGACTGGCGCAAGCACATGCTTTGCCCGGACACGGATGCGTGTACGTATTGATTGGGTGCGCGACGTTGCGCATCTTGTGTAAGATGCCGCCGACGAGATACCCAGTGGCGGATTCCTTGGGAGGCATTTCGAAGTGAGAAGAGTACTATAAATTATGGAAAGGTTGATTGGAACTTCCCACAAAGGCTTCTACGCTCCAATCCTGCAACCAGACATAGTCTAAACTAGAATGATTTGAAATATTACTTGCTAATATTATCTACAGCTTTATTCGAACATATTGGTACAATAATAGTATGACTGGAGAAACCTTATAAGATACCTGCAACAATTAAAACCATACTAAGCCAGTCATTACAGTAACTGATGATGCATTCAACAGAAATAGCTACAAGTAAATCTTGGTGCAAACAATAATTAAATGTTTGTATTTCAAATGTAAAATGTATGCAAATTTCGAGAAAATATGTTACAATATTTTATAAATAAACCTGTAATCAATTGGCATAATTAGTTTGCGCCCTTGGAACAAACACAATTTACGTCTTCTTCCTTACGGAATTCAACATCTTCCTCAAGGACAGGTTATAATAGTTGAACAATTTTCGATTTTCACGTCGTCTATTTAAAATTCTTGACATTTCGAGAGACATACAGCTCTCTTCTTCAAAAACATTTGAAACTGGAAATTAAATTCTCTGGCCGGTAGTTGTATTTGTTCATTTGTCCGTATGGTTTAGGTGCTTGGTTTGAAGTCATTAGTCTAGGACCTTTCGGTCCTTGATTTTTACGTAGAAGCCATTTCCAAATTTCAGATAGTTTTAGGCCCTCACATAGATTGAAATTGTTTTGAATTTTCTCAATCTATTGCTTCTCTGCAAAGCTTCAGTCAAAATATTCAGTCTCTCTCTCTGTCACTAGAGCTTTGGTATTACTTAGGTCTATTGCATGTCCTGTATCTGTCCATATAGTACATCGTACTGCATGTGAGTCGAAATACTTGGATGAAGAACTACGTCATCTGCTATCAGCTTTCAAGGCAATTCGATATTGCAATTGAAATATCAGGAAGAGACCTAGGAATAAAGAAAAGGAAGAATATCTGGCAAAATAATCTTTTAAGAAAGCACAATATTAATAAGTTTACGACATCTCAAGCAGCAACCTTTCTCAAGACGATCTGCAGAAGCAATGTACTAAAGGGTATCGGTGTACACAGCATCCCATGCCTCAAAGTTTATATCGGGCAAACAAGGAAACATTAGTACGAGGCTAAAGGAACACAATTGTTACCTTAGGAATAGCAATGACACAAGACAGATGGGGGACATATAATCGACCTAAGTACGATACTAACCAATATAAATTCCTATTAGAAGACTCAATCTGCAGTCTCATTGTTTTTTCTGAAGAAATCAATGTTAATTATATAGTTTTTTTCGCAGATAATCCCGAAAATAACTAAAATTAAAAAGGTGATAGATTCAAAAAACAATTTTTGGAATTGTTGGAAGATAATCACGTTTTCAGTACTGTTTTTTTAGATGTGTTAAGTAGTTTCTGTCTAAAAATGATTTTGTGTTTATTAAAAGTACAAAAATACTATGAAAATAAAAGCATGCTACCAAAAGCCTTTTTCAACTTCGATATGAATAAATCGTGAACTATTGGTGCTAAATTCGCAAATGACAATCATACCTCTTTAACGAGGAAAATAAGACAAATTAAGCATTTCTCTTGAATCATTTTTTTTTCGTGCTTTTCAAACGACGGCTTTCGGCATTCTCGAGTATTCTTTAATAATTTTGTTTCTACTTTCGTTTTTAGGTCATCTTCATTAAGTATGTATGTACTATAAATCTTGCACTACAATTTTATTTTATTTTTATATTTTCTATTTCCCTCCCGTATAATATGAAATAATTATTTAAAACAAAATTTCTAAATCAACTTCAAAAACAGCTCAGTCCAAACTAGATAATGTTGCGCATCTGGGATTATTATTTCAGCCAAAGAAACTGTAATGATGATCATGATGTTGCATGTTCTCTATATCAAACGATCAAATGGAGACAAAATCAGTAATTTAATAGCTAATATTATGTATTAAGTGGTACTAAAGGAACAATTAAATAATTAGATCAAAGTTATTTTGCAATGACTATTCTATTTCAATGAAAATTAGATCAACACCATTATGAAGCGTATAATACAAAGTACCTGAAGGTAATTTCAAAGATAAACACAAGAAAGACACGGGTCCAATTTACATTTTAGTCCAATTTCAATATAGTTTCGAAAATATCATACAGCGGGGTTGCCAGTACTAATAGTTTTTTACAAACTGGATCTTGTATAACCGTGATCATTCCAAGAGAAATATGTAATAATAATAATTTTAATAAAAATGAGATACAAATCAATACTAAAACGTCGATCTATTATTTCATTGATGTAAATCATATTAACAATTATTAAAATCCATATGTTCTAGTTTATCGCCACGGTAGCGCAGTCGGTCGAGAGTGCGGTGGCAAGCATTTCTCGGCTAGGCTTCCTACTCTGGTCCGGGTTCGATCCCCGGTGTCGGCACTGGCAATGTCGATGGATAATGGGCGTTTGTCCGCGTTTTTGTGTAGCCCCCTTCCGCACAAGCCTTTGGCTTTTGGATTTGGGGGTTGTCTCATTTCTGTGGTATGTTTTATGTTTTATGTTTTTTTATGAATATGAATATGAAATATGCTGCTTGAATTTACAAAGCAAAAGTAACAGTAAATAAAATTGTAGGCAGCAAATAATTGAGAATTTCATAATACCACCTGTAGGTAATGTTAAGCAAATAATTGAGAATAATATTACCACCTGTAGATAATGTTAAGCAAGGTCATTAAAAATAAATAAGAGGATAAAAGAACTAATAATCGATAAATAGCTTTGTAAATTATAATCACTGATAACGAATTGTTAATTGCGTCATACAATAGTAACTATATTATGAGAATGCTGAATGCATGTTTGAATTATTTATATTTTAGAAATCAAAAAGTCCTCACAAAATAGTACATGAACGGCACTGACTTGATATCGGTTTATGTATTTTAAATATTAGCATTACCTGTTTTTCCTATTTTTAAAATATTGAATTCTGATTAAAGCTTTTTCGAACTGTAATATGCAATATTGTTTTTTACATATGTTGCAAATATAGTTCATTGAAATTACTTGATTAATATAACATCAGCAAACTAACTATATAACTTATAAATAAATATTGAAAATGACTATATATGTAGAATAAATTGGTATTTTATCATTAAAAGGACTCTTACAGCAATAGGTACACCTTTAAAGTCACTTCTCAAAAGCGTTTGAATTCTCCTAAAAGCATTAGTGTATTATTGTGTATTTATGATGCAACAAATATAAAAAATGTTATTTAAACTTTTCAAAATAAGTCGCAACTAACTGAGTTAAACACTCTTAACTACATTGAAATTCAGTAGTCTAGTCTAAACTTTGATTTACGACATGGTATCCTATTAAATTAAATCAAAATAATAAGATATCGGAAATAGGCAACTTGCATAATATATTTTTTAAATATCTAGAAATAATCTGTAACTTTATATTATCATGTAGTGACAATGTTGGGAATCTCTTAGAGTTGTTAATTAATAAATAGTCACTAAAGTTTGGCGCGCAAAATAAATGCTGTTTTCTGTCGCGCTAATTCGTGACGTCATTTAGTGCGATTCAGTATCGAGAATATGAATGACAGAAACTGAACTTCAAGAGTCTAAAAATAGCTAAATTAACTTTGCTTTGGAACTCCCCGTTTACACGTTTCTTTAGATTAGGTTTCATCTCATTGGCATGATGTAGACTAGAAGGTATACCGTTGAAATGCGTGTTATCTGTCGCACTAAATGACGTCATAAGGCGTTATTTTTAAATACCACTGTTAGTTGTTGCCGATTATAGACTACAAATTTATGCAGTTCTAAAACGTAATTAAATTTTTGTACAAATGACCTATTAAATACTAACGTTATGTCTACTGTATAAAACTATAATCGATAAATATTAAAGATTCACTATTTGTTAAAGTGATTTCAAAAGTTGCTTTTTCGTTCTCCATTATTCCACAAGAATTTAAAGCTGAATAGATATACATAATATTTTGAAGTAAGCAATTTTTTTATTTTTTTTTGTTATGACTTACTATATACGAGGGCTATCAGAAACTAACCGAAGTTGAATTACGCGCTGATGGATGTATTTAGTGATATGCGATTGGCAGCATTGCATTGTTCATAACCTCCTTTACAACCACATATTCTTGGATTATTAATATTTCATTTAGTTTTCGTGATGTTATTTGAGTGCAACATGTTTAAGTGTTAGTGGCGATTTTTGAAATGTGCGATTTTCTGAAGGAACGATGCAAAGTAAGATTTCGCGTGAAACTGGGGAAATCTTTAACGGAAACCTTTCAACTTTTGAAACAAGCTTACGTAGATTTTACGCAATTTTACGAATGGTTTTCACGATATAAAAGTGGTCGTCAGTCAATTGAAGATGATCCTCGACCAGGAAAGCCTTCGACTTCAACTGATGATTCCCACGTTCAGAAAGTCAAAGATCTGGTGCGTGCAAATCGCCGATTGAATGTCAGAGAAATTGCAGAAGGGGTTAGCATGTGAATTGAGCCATACCATGAAATTTTTACTAAAAATTTGAATATGCATCGACTTGCAGCAAAATTTGTTCCTCGTTTGATGAGAGAACAACAGAAAGAAAATCTTGTTGATGTTTATCGACAACTACTTGAACAATCCAGTGACGATAAAACATTCATACAAGAGATCATAATGGGAGACGAAAGCTGGGTTTACGGCTACGACACTGAG